ATTTGGAGGATAAGATCCATGCAGAAAAAAAAAAGGTACAAAGCCTGAGGTCAGAGCATGCTTCTTGATCTAAAGAACATCAAGATCAGGTGATTGAGCCAGTGTGAGTAAAGAGTAAATAAAGATGAAATCAGAGAATTAAAAGTTGGCTATTTTATCTATAACCGAGAGAAGAATTTATGATATTAATAAGCTGACGTAAGATTTAGTATCAAGAATTATCATAAAGTCAACAATACAAATAATTCAACAAAATGCAAATAATATGAACACATGTTTACCTCAAGGAACAAACTGTAAACCAACAAACACATGAAGAAATTTCCACTGTTTAGTGATTAAAGAAATTCAACAAGACCACAAAAAGGTTTAGATATATGTCCGTTCTATGGCAGTACCAAAGTGTTAGCACACACACCGATAGGATCTATCTTCTTTGCTTTGGGAATGTAAATTGTATATCCACTTTGAAAAAAATATTTCCACTATCTCATAGGTTTGAAATCAACATACCTTACTCACTCAGGGTCTACTTCTACCCAAAGAACTATGCTGTAAGAATATATAGCAGTCACTGTTCAGAATAGCAAAAACCTAAAGAAACAATTCAAGTGCCCCGTAAACAGAGTTAATGATATAATTAAATGGTGGTATATTTTCACAGCAATGTTTAGCAGCCAATTTTTTTTTTTTTTTCTTTTTTTTTTTTAAAAGAATTATACTGGATAATATACATTTCCTGGAATTAATCTTAGCAAACTAATATTAAGGAAAAATAAGTCCCTGAAGATGCCGTGCACTGATATCACCACCCCCCCCCCCACATCTTTATAAATTAATAAATAACCTAAAAGTTAAAAACTGGACTTGGTCTGGAATACATATATAGAATCAAAATGTAATCTAAAAAGAAACAAGGTATGATGAACCAGGATTCAGGAGAGTAGATTTTAAGGAAGATCCAAGTGAGCAAGGCTGAGGTATGAAAGGACACAAAGCTAGACATTTGAAGTTATTGAAGTTTGATTTTTGTGTTGTTAAAAATAACAAGAAGCAAACAAATAAATAATAACATTTTTTTCACAACCGATGAGCATGTGTCATGAACCAAGGATTATTATTTATCAAAGTCTGTGTACATGCAGCCCATTGAAAAAAATATGTGAAAAAAATTCCAGAACATGAAACACATATGAATAATAAAAATATAAAAGATGCTCAAATTCAATAATAATTAGAGAAATGAAAATTGAATGCAGATATTTAACTAACAATTTGCCAATATATAAAATGTTTCATATTACTGCTCAATGTTACAGTGACAGATCCTCCAAACAGAAAATTAATAAAGAAATAATGGACTTAAACAAAACTCTAGAACAATTGAGTCTGACTGACATTTACAGGACATTCTACCCAATATCCACTGAATATACGTTCTTCTCATCAGCTCACAGGACATTCTCTAAGATTGACCATATTCTAGGACACAAAGTAAGCCTCAAGAAATTTAAAAAAATAGAAATCATACCATGTATCTTCTCAGATCACAGTGTAATAAAAGTAGAAATCAACCCTAACAGAAATTCACATTTCTACATAAAAACGTGGAAATTAAACAACCTCCTACTAAATGATTACTTCATAAATGAAGAAATCAAGATGGAAATAAAAATGACAATGGAGAGACAAGTTATCAAATCCTTTGGGACACAGCTAAAGCAGTACTGAGAGGAAAGTTTATTTCCATAAATGCCTATAACCAAAAGTCAAAAAGATCACAAATACGACAATCTAATGAAATGACTCAAAGAGCTGGAAAAAGAAGAACAGACCAACCCCAAACTCAGCAGAAAAAGTGAAATCAACAAGATCAAATCAGAACTGAACAAAATTGACAACAGGGAAGCTATACAGGAGATTAATAAAACAAAAAGTTGGTTCTTTGAAAAAATAAACAAAATTGACACGCCATTGGCTAGGCTAACAAAAAGCAGGAAAAAAAAATCTCTAATAAGCTCCATCAGGGACAAAAAAGGAGATATCACAATTGATCCCAAGGAGATACACGATATAATTTACAAATGCTACAAAAACCTTTATGCACACAAACTGAAAAATGTGGAGGAAATGGACAAATTTCTAGAAACACACAGTCTCCCTAGGCTCAACCAGGAAGAAATAGAACTCCTGAACAGGCCAATCTGAAGAGCTGAAATAGAAACAGCAATTAAAATCTTTCTAAAAAGAAAAGTCCCAGTCCAGATGGTTTCACACCCAAATTTTACCACACTTACAAAAAAGAACTGGTGCCTATCTTGTAGAAATTATTCCACAACATCGAGAAGAATGGAAACCTCCCCCACACCTTTTATGAAGCAAATATTACTCTGATAACAAAACCAGGAAAGGATCCAACAAAAAAAGAAAACTACAGAGCAATATCCCTAATGAATATAGATGCAAAAATTTTCAAGAAAATCTTAGCTAACCGAATCCAGATGCTTATCAAAAAAATAATCCATCACAACCAAGTGGGCTTCATTCCAGGGATACAGGGATGGTTCAACATATGGAGATCTATAAATGCAGTTCACCACATAAACAGAAGCAAAAACAAAGACCACATGATTCTTCAATAGATGCAGAAAAAGCTTTTGACAAAATTCAACACCCTTTCATGATACAAACACGTAATAAAATAGGCATAGAAAGGACATACCTAAAAATGATACAAGCCATATATGACAGACCCATAGCCAACATAATACTGAATGGGAAAAAATTGAAAGCATTCCCACTTAGAACTGGAACCAGGCAAAGCTGCCCACTATCTCCACTTCTATTCAACATAGTCCTGGAAGTCCTGGCTACAGCAGTCAGATAGGAAAGTGAAATTAAAGGTATCCAAATAGGGACAGAAGAGATCAAACTTTCACTGTTTGCTGATGATATGATATTATATTTAGAAAACCCCAAAGATTCAACCAAGAAACTCCTAGAACTGATAAATGAATTTAGTAAAGTCTCAGGATACAAAATCAATACACAGAAATCAGAGGCATTCATATACACCAATAACAATCAAATT